AATAATTGTGTTAAAAAGTGGGCCAAAATTACACCTTAATAACTCATCGATAATTGAAATTTAAAATTCAATACGAAATCATTTCAAAAGGAAAATCAAAAACAAAACAAACAAGTGCTTGTACAACGAAGCTGGCACAAAAAGTGCATTACAGTCAAACCTGTTTTTGTGCGGTCTTTTTTTATGCGCTTTTTTTTGTGCGAATCTTTTTTTTGTGCGATTCTTTTTGTGCGATTTTTTTTTTTGTGCGGTATATGAATATCGACACATTGAATTTCGCCGTGAGGTTAGGTCAATCTGAACTGTGTTGGCATCACTTTTTTGGCTATCAGTGTGTATATACACATTGCAACAGCCATTTTAAATTCGTGCTGGAAAGCGGTCTGGCCTGAATGTGTCATTAATAGAAATGTAACCGACAACACGTCCACTTTTATCATCAGATATCATTGCGCTAGCACATCAAATCTGCGGAGAAGGTTTTGACTCTTTCAGCGAAAATGATCTTATTGAAATGATTGAGGACGAAACCGTAAATGATAGTGACATTATCAATAACTTAACAGATCATGAAGACGGACAAGAAGAACCGTAATCTATTACAGCGGATAAAATATATGCAGGGATCCAGCTTTGCAGCAAACTGGAAAAGCATTTTCATAAAATAGATAACAATTCTCAAAGAAGTTTGAAATTCCAAAAAGAGCTTCGATTGTGTATATCTGGCTATCGCGACGTTTACAAACAGGTGACCAAACGACCGTCGTCGCAAAAACTTATCACCGACTACATGTTAACAAAAAATAAATCAACTGTAGTATCTTTAAGTGACGAAAGCGATTACGAACCAGTTCATCGCAAAAATATGCGCGTTTTGAACTACGACGAGTAGTACATATTGAATTATGTACATTTTGAAAATTTCTCCTTGTTAAAATTAGAAATTAAAATTTTTTTAAATGTTTCAATGTGTAATTTAATTATTTATTTTGTTTGAAAAGCACTTTCTTGCTATTTCGTAAAGCTTTGACATATTTTCTAAGTGAGACTTTTTTTATGCGGTCCCTTTCTACCGCATAAAAAAAATTTTCTTTAATATGCTGTGAAAAATTATTTCTTATAGCTATTTATGAAGTTTTTGAATATTTTTTTTTTTGTGCGGTTTTTTTTCTGCGGTCCCTATCTACCGCACAAAAACAGGTTTGCCTGTATATCCAAATAACAAAGACAACTGAAACATCTGAAAAAAAAAAACATCGCATTTTGGGAGTAGGAACAACGTTACATCCCACTGCGAAGCTCATCGCACTCAAAAAACGTCACTACACACTCAGACTCCATTCCATTTCATAACTGCACTGCTTATCATCTCTTAAATGTACAAACTCAACCTGCCAAATATGCTTTGCCCATGGAATATGCTTTCTCTCTCGAAATTAGGGATATTAAAATCCGCAGGACCAGAGCTTATGCTCACACCAGAAATGAGCATTGTTTGTTTGTTCAATCAAGAAACAATTCTTCTGGCAATAATCGAACTCTATTCAAATTTATACCATGATTTCCATAACCTACAGATTTTTTTCGTCAATAACAAAAAAATCAAATTGATCCCTTCTGATGCGACTACGGCAAATTCTATGGCCGTCAAACTTCACTTAACAACGTCTATAACTTGTATATTCCGTCCGAATTCTGTGAAATCCGTGAGCTCGCTTTAATCGCCTCTGATTTCATCGAACTTAAAATGCACTCAAACACAAATCCATGAATCTGCTCAAATTTAGTCCCCTACCTGACCTCTGCAATTCTGTAGAACTCATGCGCTTCTATAAATTCGACCTTTCCTCTAACTCTCGTTTGCCGTTGAACACAGTTCGTTTAGGTTTTTCCGGGAACGTCTTGCCTTCCCACATCTGTTTGGAAGGCATTAACTTCCCTGTTGAGCCATATCTCGAGCCGACATTACAATGCCGCAAATGTTGGCGTTTCGGGCACACTGATAAGCTGTGTTGACGCCAAGGGCCATTCTGCCCCTCCTGTAGCAAAAGCAATGAGTGCACCTCTAATTTGTTCTCAAACTAAAAAATGTATCGATTGTAAGGGTGACCCTTCATCTAATTCGAAAACTTGTCCTTCCTACAAAAAATTACTAAATCCAAAAAAGATGCAGCAGATCGTTTGAAGCCGCAAGTATACGTCTTCTTTCGAAATGCTTACGTTTACGCAAATAATAGCTCTTCATTCTCTCTAGAAAGTTTCTCTAAATTGTTTCCTCTGACTTCTCAACCAACAATAAAACGACCAATCACTGATTCTATTGTCTCAGTTCCAACCAAAAATGTGGTAACTGCTGAAATCACCATCTCTCCTTCCAATATGAAGTCATCAAATCCCGAGACTGCGCCACCCATCACAGGCAATATTTCTTCCGATCACGTAATGATCACTGATTCTAATACTTCCTCTAACTTATATGAAATCTCTGATCATATTCAAAAATTACATAATTTCCTGCCACTCTTTAAACCAAATTCTACCATTAACAGGATTATCTCGTGAACTTCACATGAGTATTATAAACCAATGATCCCCTTCGGATTCGTACATCTAGTCTCTTTCAACCAATAGCGTCCGTAACAAATTACATCTCCTGCTTAAATCTCATGATTCTTTCTCTATTAAGAATTATAACGCAGTTAGATTTTTTCATATCTCTAACCCCTCTCATGGTAGTGATTTGGCGGTCCATACATCTAATAATCTTTCATTCTCTTACTCTGCTAATTTTGCAAATTGTGCACATATCGAATCTTGGGGCACCCTTCACACTGCCGTCCTGATCTTTAGGTTTTATATTCCACCTAAATGTAATGTTTCTGATCATGCAATTAATAAATTATTTTCTTTCAGATCTGACATATCTGCATTATTATATGGTGATTTTAATGCTCACAATGTTCGTTGGGGTAGTCACTTCTTCAGTTCAAACGACTACATTCAAGCACTTCTTCAATTCAAGCGACTACCCTAACGACAAGTTCAAGATTTTCTTGAAAGCAGCAATTTAGTCTTACTAAATAATGGTGATCCTACTCATTTTGGTTCCGTGTCTTCTCACCTAATCTAAGTGCTCTGAGCACCTGAAAGACCCTTAACGACACTATAGGTCGTTCCCACAGTCTAATCGAAATTGGGTCTTTTGCGTCTTATTACTTGCTATCACTCACATATCCATGCTCCAAGGTATATCAAATCTTCATTACTTAACAATATTATCCTTAACATTTCAAACACCATCCAGACCAATGACTCTTCGGGTTGTTTTTTTGATAAAAGTCATTCACTGGTGCTCTGAACCGAAAGTCTTCTAAAAAATCCTACCCTGTAATTCTTGGTGGAACATCGCATTCAATCGAGTTGCCGCCAAACTTAAGCTCGTTGTAAATTTCAAATTTTTCGCCGATATTAGAAAAGAATATACCTATATTCTCAGGCTGGAAAAATGTAAAGGTTGGAAACAATTTTGTGAAAATGTCAACAGTGACATGTCAATCTCAGATCTTTAGCGCACTGTCAGAGACCCCATGGTTACTCTTCTGCCCATCTATGGTTCTTCCATCCCGTTTATTAAAACTTTAAACATTGTAGGCTTTGTCCTGCATTCGAAACTTTCCCCTGCAGCTCACATTGACAAAACTGCCAAACAATGTTTTCAACTCATTGATGTATTGAAATCCATTTGTAGTATTTCTTTGGACTCTGATCCCTCTTGCGTGATTAAACTATATTTTGGTTTAATCAGACCAAAATTAGAATACGCCTATTCCCCCTTCATCTCAAAGAAGGATCTTCTGAAAACTTGGAACAAGTGATATATATTATGCCTCTACAAGAAAGATTTCATTTACTCCAATTTTTTATCTATTAAAATTCTATCTTTTGAAAACATTTCTTTCTTAAAATTTTTCCTGACGAAGTTAGTAATTTCAACTTTCTAAGAACTGATATACATAGCTCTTGGTTCTCAATATTTTCGACTAGTAATTAAGCTCCTACCAGTGAGAAAATCCACAGTTACACCGACAGAGGTACACCACCGTTACCCGAAGTTGGACAATATCAAATGGAAACATTTTTCACTCATCTTTACTGATGGATCTAAGACCGATATTGTAGGCAGCGGCGCTTTCAATTATTAATATAGAAGCCTACTTCTCAAATCATTCATATAGCTCATATTTTCGGCTGAATGTCCAGCGATCCTAGAAGCCACGCGCTTAGCGAGTACTCAACTTCAAAAGGAACTCCTTATAATGCCAGGCAATAAGTCTGTCTTATCCGCTTTACAATCATTTGCCTCAGGTAAAATTGATCCCTACATATTAGAAATCAGATCGTTACTTCATACCCTCAGGTCCGATACATTTTGTTTTCACTTTCTCGGGTGCCCAATCCCATGGGTATTCTTGGCAATAACACTGTATGTAAAATTGCATCTTCCAGACCATCTCATTTTAATGATCGTGGTTTCATTTCTATAGATTTAAGAACAGTCATTACCTACAATCTTTATTTCCATAAATAATTAAAGTTCCTTGATTTCTCAATTGCGGACTCAGGCGTGATATTATTTTCTTTACTAACAGGCTGATGATTAACCACACGAAATGTAATGATCATCTATTCAAAATCAACACTGAATAACATAAGAAGAAGGAGAAGGTTTTAAAGTCTGAACAATTATAAAATTCTTAAATATAGTGAAATATATTGAACTTTGCTTTTAATTTATATTCATCGCATTGTTCTTTATGCTGATATTATTAGTTTTCTCTACGGCATAATCTAATGGGGCCTTATCCTGGGAATCTATGGGAAATTGGTCCATCAATTTGTCACTTCATGCCGGTATTTTCTTTATGACAACATAAAGCGTTCCGATCGGCGGCTTTCCGTAAAACAAACCTCATCATCAACCATTAAACTGCTAGTTTATCAAGGAGCACTTTGAATCGTATTTCGTGTCACGAGAGAGCGGGAGAGAGAACTCTTGATTTGCATAAGAGGACAATTGAAAATTTGGCAGAAAAGATGGCGAACTGTCCTGATTAATAAAAGATGATAATATGATAACTTAAAAAATAAAAACTTGAAATAACGGTAAAGTTTGTTTTAAAACAACCGTTTTCAAAATAGTCTATTACTTATAAGTCTCCTTATTTACTTATCTTTATCTAGATAATGAATATACAAATTTTTATTAACTTACTTTCGCTTCAGCGACGGAACTAGAAAGTTATTTGCCTTTGTATTAAGTATGACTTTTCGTCTTTTCATATTCGATAAATATATAGGGAGAATAAGGGACAACCTCGACGTTTGTTTGTGTACAAGCAACCAACATGATTCAATCAACAACAAACGTAAATAAAAGCACGGTTATAAAGTAAGTGCACGTGATTAATTTCATCTAACTTATCTTACCTATAAACAAGTGAAAACTTCATCCTTTTCCCACTCTCAATCACCGACGGATCACAAATCATATGTTTCTGCCAAATAGCTGAAAAGCCGGTCTTATCTTTTTATGATTCTTGGTATTCTGAAGTATACGTATGGAGACATGACATGGTAACGTACTTTTCGGTAGGTCACAGTTCGTTATTATAGTAAGAGAGGGTAGTGCAACAGTGCAAGGACAAAATTTATTAAAACTTCAAAGAAATTGCGAAGAAAAGTGAAGCTCAGGCACTTATTCAAGGGCAGACTTTTAGATTATAACCACGAAGATGCAGCGTACATAATTTTTGCATTCTGCACAGTATTCTTACGGAAGGAGGAATGTTGAGATGAACTCGGAATCAAATTATTCTGTGGACGGATCTACCACGGAAAAAGGATTAGAAATAATTATATAAACTTGTGATGTATATAATATAAAATAATTATTTCATTATAAAAGTCTTTAAAAAAACATCACTTAAAAATATTTCGTTTAAAAAAAGTAAACATTTCGAAATGTTCACGTCAAAAAGACTTAAAAATGGGGGAAAAAAGTTTAAATGCAAACGACCTCTGCATATAAGTTGATGCTTCCAATGATTTAAAGACCGTAAATAAAATTAACATTATTTTAAATAAATACTGTTCTCTATATTCATATATGCTTACTTCTTTCCATTTCTATGAACTTCCGGTAAGCTCAGTCATACCGTTTAAATTTGCAGACAATTCTTCCCATAAATTTTCAATTTGCTTTTGATATGTCGAACTTAATTTATTATTTTAATATGTGGATAATTTTTGACACCGGGCAAATAATAAATTACTAGCTCCTGGCTGCATCTTTGGTAACCCCTTCTATGATCAACGCACATTTAAAATTATATATTAACTGTTATATTAAAATTATATATTAATAATGTATATTAAATTTTTCCCGTTTTGCCAATATATTCTTTTTGTTTATACCGTGGAAAGAGGTATGTATTCTTCTTTTTGACGCTTCAACTCGCGATTTTCATTAAGTAACTATCCCGTTTTAACACGAGATTGTGATTGGGGAATTCTGCTGTCATTTTTGCTTTAAAGTACGAAATTCGATACAAAGCGACAGCAATGATGACGGACAAATATAAGTATGAATTTCATGATACTTGAGCAATAAAACCGCCAGAGTAAAGTTGTTACATTCTAAAAAAAAACTTTGTTGCAAACCGTTTTACAAAGAAATCATTGTATAGTCCAATATTAGTTTTTTTTTCCATTTAAAATCTACACATTTAAAATTTTTCGTTTTAGTTTGGCTATCCGTAAGTAAGCCGATCTGCTGTGGATGTTATTGTGTTTCCGTTTTACAGCCGTTTTTTCTTATAACCAACGTTGGTCATAGCCACGCAAAACGTGAGCCATTCAGCTTTCACTTGAATGGACTCACTTGAAAGCGAGAGTGTATCTCGCAACTTGTAATGTGGTATTTTAATACCTATTATTGTGCGAGTGCGCTCAGACGTCGCTAGTGTGTACATGACAAGAAATTTGTTTACGAAAAAGGGTCACCACCTTCGCTTGTACCCGTTTCCCCGCTTTGCTGTAGCGCAATTGGAACACTCTCCTCGATTGACGTAGTAAACTGAATTTACCGCCGTCAGCGGTAACTATTATCACCTGGAATGATCTCGCTCCTTTTCACTTTCCTATTCTTTTCCTATCACTTTCGCACAGTGTGATCGACGTTGATTGCAGAATCACAAACGAGCATCATCGTCGGAGCAGAGTAAAAAAATCCCTGTTCTATTTTTGTTTTTATTAGCGTCAAACGTGAAACTCAGCGAGCTCAACCCAAGGCTGATTAGTACCTTGCTGTCAAAAGGCTAAAGCTGATTTGCCGTGCTATTTACCTTATGTCAGGCACGAGTTTGCACCCCGTCAGTTGAAACTTTGCGGCCTTTACTACTTTCCCGAAGAAAATACTTTGTTCTAAGTATAGTTTTAAAGCTGCTCCTCGTAATCGGAGAAAAACATCTTCCATATTTTTTGGATGTTCCTTGAAATTGTTGTCTATGCTAATAATATCATGAAAGTATACCAGGCATGTATTACAGTGTAATCCTTTTAGTAAACAGTTCGTTGCAACTCTCTTGAGCTGACAAAGATCGTCCAGTTTTCCGACAGAAATTTTCTGGCGCTTGTTCTGCTGTGTACTTAGACTGTTAATTCAACTTTTTATAAGATTTTTAGCTTCTTTTGACATCTTTGAGTTTCTTAAAACCAATGTGATTTAGTGGATGTGTTCAGAACGGCAACTCTGTTCAAGCCTTGTGGTCATATTTTTCTCGTTGTGAAAAATTTTTTGCAATTTATTCTTTTATTTAATTTCTTTATTGCGTTATACTTGAACTTTTGTGTGTTTATTGCTGAAACTTATCATCGCGGATACCGTACGTGTTTCCTTTAAATACAAAAAAAAAAAAAAAATTAAAATCAAAACATTTGACATTATCTTCAGTAGTTTCCCAAACCTTTTCAAGTGAGTAGTTATTTCACAAATAATAAACAATAGACAACAATAAGGCATAATGGCCCCGGGGCCGCTCGAATAGATTTTATCTATTAGCTGACACATCCCCCCAAAGAAAAAAAATTAAAAATTCCGACATTCCGGTGTTGCCAATTAGTGACATCACTCCTATGGACAAAAAATATATTGTTATTTCTTCAACCGATGCTAGACTAACAATATCCCAAATTAGCCCTTTTGCTATAAAAAAAGCTCTAGATAGCATTACAACATACATCGACTCCATCTCGATTCTATGCGATGGGAATTTACTGGTCCTCGCTGGGAACCCGCGCGCAACCAAAAAGCTCATAAAGTCCAAATCTTTAGCTAATCTATGTGCTATTTCCGTTAAACTGCATGAGAAACTGAACTCAGTTAGAGGCGTAATTTATGCCCCTTGCTTAAAGCATGTGCCGGAAGATGAAATTGTTTCGCGAAATGTGCAATCAAGGAGTGACTGAAGTATATAAATTAACCAAACTGAATGATGACGGAAAAACACGCTCTCCTACAGGAAGGATTATTTTAACTTTTGATCGCTATCGATTACCGCGAACAGTTGATGTGGCGTGGTATAAATGTAAAGTAGAACTATACATTCCAAATCCTATGAGGTGTAAAAATTGCCAACGCCTGGGTCATACGGCAACAAGATGCACTAGTGCTGCATCTTGTGCTAACTGTGGTCATCCTCCACATGCTGAAAGCTGTACCCGTAGTTTCTGTAGAAATTGCAATGATCAACACTCAGCTTTAGACAAACAATGCCCACGTTTTGTACAGATGCGTGAAATACTAAAAATCAAAACAGAAAATTACTGTAGCATGAGCGAAGCGCGACGTACATACCGCGAAAGAAATCAATCTGTAGTCCAAGGAATTGGCAAAAGTAATACCTACACTGCTGGTGCCTTGCAAAACAAGCCTACTAAGCCTTTAACTCCAACTCCCTCCAAAGAAAAATTTATTCGCCCCTTAACCAAAAATTATATTGCGAATCCAGCTACATCACCCGAAGATAATATTGAAAAAACCGAAGCAACACCAAATATTGAAAAAATTCAAACGACAACATATATGCTAAAATCCAATATACTAAACTCTCCAGAATCTCCAGCTCTCAACTTTACTCAAAAAATCACAAGTGGTAATGAATCCATTCTTTCATCCATTAATCAACCTTCAATTTCAAATTATTCACGTGCGCCCACTCGTTGCGCTTCGAATGTACCAAACCACCTAAGTACAGATTATTCTGCTGGTAAGAATAAATCACTCACGAAAAATTCCTATAGCGACCTTCTCGACGGAGACGCTGACATGGCAACCTAACCCTCCTTCCACTCTGCTTCTATGTCATTACAATTACATAAAGTTTTTAAAATTCTACAATGCAACATTAAGGGACTTATTAATAATTTTGATGAAGTCCGTACACTCATAAGTGATTTTAATCCAACCTTTTTATCGCTTCAAGAAACTCATTGTAGAAGCTCTTTTAATCCTACTCCACCTAAACCATATACTGGATACTTCACGAATGCTGATCAAAATTGATATTCCAAACAAGTAGTTGGTGTTTTTATAAAATCAAATATACCTCACAAACTCATAAATTTTAGCTCAAACATACAAGCCGTAGCCATACCTATAATGTTAAATATAAAATTTACAGTGCTTTCGCTCTATATTCCACCTTCGCAATCGTTTTCTCAGCAAGAACTCTACAATTTATTCTCCGTATTCTCCCCCCCCCATTAATAATATGCGGCGACTTTAATAGTTGGTATACCATCTGGGGCTCAACAGTGAACAACACTCGCGGTACTTTTTTAGAAAAGGCCTTCATTCAAAGCAATTTCTGCATATTAAATGATGGAAAACCGACGCACTTTTCAATTCAACACACTTTTTCACATATTGATTTAACATGTTGCTCTCCCTCACTTCTTCCTTTGGTATCCTAGTCTATTTTTGATGATCTACATAATAGCGATCACTTTCCAATCATAATCGATCTTAAACTTTCAACGTCCACTGTTACTCCAGTAAAACAGGCCAAATTCCTCCTAGATAAAGCAGATTGGATCAACTACTCCAAACAGGTGGAGTCATTTTTAAATTCAAAGCCATTTAACGGGAACTGCCACCATGATGCTGCTATTATGTCTAAAGCGATTCGCACGGCTGCTCATTTCTCTATTCCACAATCCAACAGCTTTTGCAAACGAACTAGGCTTCCTTGGTCGAACAACACGCATTTGTTTTTGAGGAAATATAAAGTGAATCTATGGCACCGCTTTAAGAGATTTCCTGATCATGATCTCTTGTTACTATACAAAAAGGCCAATGCTCTATTCAGGAAGGAATTACGAAAATCAAACGCACTTAGTTGCGAACTTTTTTCGAGAGGAATTCACAGAAATACATCAATGAAAATTATCTGGAACAAAATCAACAGACTTAATAGGGCTTCAAATCTGAACGAAATCCCTGCCATCTGCACTCCCAATGGAACTTCAACTGACGCACACGATATTTGTAATTACTTTGGACAAATGTGATGCGAATACTCCTCTGACAGCAGCTTTTCTAGTTCTTTCCTCGAAAATAAAAGGACTCCAATTTCTCTTTCAAATTGTATTGACAGATGTGCCACCTTCCCGAAAAATTATCTACCTTAGAACTTGGAAGTTGCCTCTCCAAATCGAAGGGCAGGACACCTGGTCTAGACCGCATCTCGTACCAAATTATCAGTGCGCTGTTTAATTCAAGTAAAAAGAAATTACTGGACCTATATAATACGGTATTTTTGACTGGCCATATACCCTACATGTGGAAACTGGCAATAGTTGTTCCAATTCCAAAGTCAAAAAATGCCGCCATCGCATCGGACTATCGCCCATCTCTCTTTTATCTTGCCTCTCAAAGGTATTGGAAAAGATTATGGCATCTAGATTATCTTGGTTTCTTGAGTCCAAGAACCTGATAACAAAGCAACAAGTTGGTTTCAAGCGGGGTAGAGGGTGCATAGACGTTCTTCTACATATTGATTTTTTCACGAGCAAAGCAATTTCCGAACGGAATCATGTAACAATTCTCTCAATTGATTTCGAAAAAGCATTTGACAGAGTTGGTCTTCATGTTATCTTAAGACTCTTGAAATCATGGAATGTTGGACCCAAATTCTTCAACTATATCAAATCATTCATGTCGCATCGGCGGTTCAAAGTTAGAATCAACAATCATCTTTCTGATTCCTTTCCGCTAAAGAATGGCATTCCGCAAGGATCTCCTCTCTTTGTCACGCTTTTCCAGATCGCCTTCAACGAAATTAGCAAAATCCTTTGCCGTGTACCAAGAGTGGAACATTGTTTGTACGCGGACGATGTATACATTTTTACAAAAGAAAAAGATGGCACGAAGGCAATCAACATCCTCGAATCTATTGCACGTGAGATCTCCACATGGGCAAACTCGTCAGGAGCTAAAGTTTCCATACAAAAATCTAAAAAATGCACATTTGTCGAAAGCAGATATGCGATGCAGGAAACCTACTAATGCATATTAACGACTTACTAGTACTAAATGTGCAGACGCTCGATGTTCTCGGCGTCAGGTTTTCCAACAATTATCGTTGGAAAGCACACTGTCTTCGGTTAAAAAATCCCTTTTAACAAGAGTAAATTTCATACAGTACGTTGCTTGGAGAAGCCATGCACATATTAACACTATTGCTTGTGTTAAGCAAGATTGACTATGCTTTGATAACTTATGGCAATAGCTGCAAATCTAATATCAACATCCTTAAACCGGTCTATCACCAAGCCGTCAGAGCAAGTTGTTATGCTTTTCGGACGACGCCCATAAATAATATTATAATTGAAACTGGTCTCCCAACTTAAAATAGTCCCCAAGCTTCTTAATTCAAACAAATCTATTCTCGATGATGACGTGAGAAAGATTATTATTGCGAAGAAAATTCCCAAGTCACCATCTGCAATTGACCATTGTTTGTACGTCGCAAAGAAATTAAACATTCCCTTAAAAATTTTCCGCTCTTTTGGTGTTAAGCCTCCATGGATTTTGGAAGAGTGCTCTTTCGAAATCTCACTGTCTATGCACAAGAAAGAAGATACTCCAAACTACGTCTTCAGGAATCTAATGGTTGAAAAAACCTAAGTATTGGAGAGTACTGGTTGGAATCTTTTGTACACAGACGGCTCAAAATCTTCTGGTCTGCCTCCTGCTTGTGCCGTGGTAGCTGCTACAGTACAGGATCTTTTCAATCACATATTTCACGAAAGTACTTCAACTTTCACAACCAAAGCCAGTGCTATCCTTCACGCTACGAACTTTGCCCATAAAAACAAACTCAAAACCGTCATTGTTACCGACAGTTTTTCTGTATGACAAGCTATTCGGAACCCTTCGACTTCGAGATGGAGCACCATCAACAAATTAAGGAATATAATTACTACACCCGACGGAAAAATTAAAATGTTATGGGTACCAAGTCACATCGGTTCACTGGGAAATGAGCAGGCTGATCGAGCAGCAAAGTATGCTGCGTCTGCTCCTCTAATTATGGATGATGTCATGGAAATGTTGGATCTTCAAAGATACATTGGAAGAAAAGTTAAAGAGAAAATTGCAGAAGGAAATTTACAATACCATCATCAACACTACTCTTCCATTAACCTTCGAT